CACACACACACACACACACACACACACACACACACACACACACACACACACACACACACACACACACACACACACACAGGTTGCACTCCAGCTGTTGTGTCTTTACCCTCTGCACTGTGGCGTTTCTCCCTCACGTGCTCCTGAGCAGCCGTCACTATCTGTCGCAGTAAATCCAACACGGCGAGCTGAACGGACACCGCCTCCCTGGTCACCATCAGTCTGTGGAGGACGCTCAGCAGCTCCACGCTCAGAGGCTGTGGGGGCAAAGACATTTTAGATTACACTTGATTGAATCTGCAGAATTTTGTCTTGCATCCCAAGACGACCATTTCCTCAGGTAAAGACAACCGGTGGAACTCACCTGGTCGTTTCCGATCTTAGCTCGCGGCCAGGAGACGTCCAGCAGCGCCTGCAGAGCTCGCAGACATGAAGTGATGTTCTCCATCTGGTCCTCAGAGTGCGGAGAACACAGGAACTCCACGCTGATCCCTGCACAGAGGAGAACACACACAACCAAATTTCAAACAACCACATTTCATTTGTCTCATATTCACAAATCCCAGTTCGTCTCCTCGATGTTAACGAGGAGCAGCATCCTCTGTTCTTAACTCCAGAGCAACTACCAGGAAACAATTAACAGGGAAACCTCAGAGAAGAAACAGAGTGTGTGTAGTTTAAAAGGTTCAGGACCCAGGATGAAGTGCAGTCTGTCCGCGCTGACGTCCTCTGGACTCTTAGCTCCGCCCATAGAGTCAGTGTGTCCCATGGAGGTGGGTGTGGCCGGTCTGGATAGATTCACAGGTGAGTCGTCTGACATCACAAAACCTGAAACACACATGTGACTGTTAAAGACCCGTCTATGTCCTGGTGGAGGAGGAGCAAGAGAAGAGGAGGCGTAAGAGGAACAGGAAGAAAGAAAAGGAGGAAGAGGAGGGGAGGAAAGAGGAGTGCTGACCTGTGCTGTGCAGCCAGAGGGAGGTGGCGTGGAGGATGGGAGCCCAGGAGGAGGAGTAATGAGCTCTGGCCTGATTCACCGTCTCTGCCGTGTAGAAGGAACCTCCTGAAGGAACAAGACGTCGAATCAATTTATCAAACTAACCTGGAAACAAATTGTGATTTAATTCTATTTGTTCCTTTCGCTTGTTTCATTCTGTCAGTTTCCTCCGAGAGTCTGAAGCTTCGTGTTTGTTCAGGTTTCATCTGATCTGTTTTAGGTTCACGTTGTGATTCAGAGACAAAAGAGTAACGTCAGACAAACGTGCGTCCTGTCGTCATCACCTACGTGGGCGGAGTCTACCTGTACTTGACTCTGATTGGTTAAGTATAATTCCACATGCTCCTGGTGTCGTACCTGCTGCAGGGAGCTGTGAAGCATACTCCTGAGGCAGGGTCAGCAGGGCGTAGTCCTGCAGCGCCGCCAGCCACAGACGACTGAGCGTCGACAAATCTGACTGGACCAACTTCAGCAGGCCCGCCCCTCCTGACTCGGACCCCAAGCTGTCATTGGCCATAGAGGAGACTGACAGGTCAGCCGTCCAACCAGGACTGTCCGTCTGTCCGCTTCTCTGCACGGCCACGATGTAAACCTGAGACGAGAGGACGAAGAGCGAACAAACGCCACCTTCAGGTCGATGATGTCGTACATTTATGAAATCATGTGAGAATCAATGTGAAGCTGCTGAAACGTTTGAGATCTTTAAACCAGGAAACGAAGAATCTGTCGGACTGAACCTGCTCAGGAAGTGACTGGTTAGTTTCTTCTTTATTAGTAACAACGTACATCATCATCATCTTCATCATCATCATCTCGAGGATCTTTAGTAACGTTGAGACCTGACAGTATAATGCACCTGTCAATCATCGAGAGAGCATATTGCAGTATAAAGATTCATTCAGGACTTTTAGGAAATGAAAAAAGAGAAATACTCTCTTCAGTTGTAAGCCTCCACCAACCAGAGCAGTTTCAGTCTACAAACTTATTTCTTCTGTTTTAGAGATATGAAAACATTTTGGCCTCCGACCACTTGGTGTCGCCAGCTCGGAGGATTAACAAGTTTCCACGGAATTAAGAAAATGACTTAAGGACTCAAACCCACCTCTGCCCACGCCTTCAGGACGGCCAGTGTTTCCATGGTAGCTGTGGCCTCATTGTGCAGCTGACTGACCGTGTCCGCCCCAACCTGCACTTTATCCAACGAGGAGGCCAGGAGCTGATGGACGCGCCGGAGGTCACGGAGGTCGCTGACGACGCCGCTAGCGATCCAGGCGCTGCAGACCTGGAGAGGATGGGGTCAAAGGAAACGGCAAAGCTTGATCATTTTCTAACTCGGTAGCCAATCAGATGCACAGAATGGAGGAGGGGTCGTGATGATTGCCACAGTAACGGTCAGTCAGAAGTATCACCTGGCAGGCCTTGACGGTGACGTCGGGAGCAGCATCAGCAGTGAAGGCTGGTCTGAGTGCAGCGCCAACCTGAAAACACACACACACACACGGAATGCAGTATTCTCATGGCGTGCTGCAAACAGAACCGTGTTCAGTGACACACTATCGACAGTTGAATCACAGACTGGTTCTTACATTCGCCTGGTACTGCTCCAGGATCACATGACCGGGGAACTCCGGCTCAGGGATGGCTGAGAAGTGCCTGATGATGACCAGCAGCGTCTGGAGACCCGCCAGTCTCAGCTGGTCACTGTGATCTGTAGCCGCCATGAACGCCATGCGGACCAGGTCCCCGAGATGAAGAACGAGGAAGTCTGGGGAGAGACAGCTGAAAGGTCACAGAGGTCTGAGAAGTCGTCAGGAAACAGAGACTGAGCCAGATCTTACCGGTGGACTCATTCAGTCGCCGCTCCTGAGCCAGAGCCATGTCAAAGTGAGCCGGGTCAGTTGATTCACACTGCTCGATGATGCGACACACGCACGCCATGGCGAAGCGACGCGTGCTCCAGCGCAGGGCAGTGAATGGACCGCCAGACTCCGGCCGGGCACTGAAGGCAGAAGAGTCGTCGTCTCTGCAGGAGTCGGCCTCCTCTTCCTCCTGACTCGCCTCCACCGGAGCGCGACAGTCTGTGAGAGGGACATGTTCCTAATAAAGTGCTCGTACAGCAGCAAATCAACCTGAAGGCGTTTCCTGTTGATGACAACACATGAGGATGAATGAAGCGTCAACTTACCAGTGGTGGCAGACAGGACGTCTTTGCAGAGTTTAAGCCAGTGTCCCAGCTTCCCACTGGTGGCGCTGGATGAAATCATGTGGACCAGAGTCTCCTGGATGTCCCTCCTCAGACCTGGATCAGACTCCCGGTCCATCAGAGTGAACAGAGCTCCCTCCAGACCCACTTCCTTTATCGTGACGTCTGCACATACATAGATCTTTAAAACTGCTGAAAACCTGTGTGTGTGTGTGTGTGTGTGTGTGTGTGTGTGTGTGTGTGTGTGTGTGTGTGTGTGTGTGTGTGTGTCTCACCCAGATGTGTGTTGTCTCGTCTCGGCAGCTCTTTGACCAGAGTCACCGCGTGTTCGGAGACCTCCAATGCTTCCCGCTGGACGAGCTGCCGCAGACACGCCACCACCGCCCGACGGAGACACAGGTAAGAGCTGCACAGGTTGGCCTAACACACACACACACACACACACACACACACACACACACACACACACAAACACACACACACACACTTGTTTCTACGTGGACGTCAGGTGAACTGTGTGAACAGATGTAAAACTGTGTTTCCTCCAGACTTAGAGCTTCAAGGTACAGTTACAGTTTTAATGACCAATAACTAATCATATCAAGTCCAACGTCAGTGTTTTTTCAAATGTGAAACTTTAAATACATTTCTCTGATAATTCAGCTTCTGATTAACTGATAAACTTTCTGTCTGACACAGTTAACAACAGTAAAAAGTGCCAGAGCTCAAAGTGACTCTAAAAAGACTTTGTGTTCACAAAATGCATCTTGATGAATATAACAACATGAATTAATGAGCCGTATTTGGAGGAAACACTGTGTAGTTTCACTGAAAGAGATGAAAATAAAGTTGCTTTAAAGTTGTACAGTCGATAAGATGTACAACAGAAACGATACCGATGTTAATGGGTTAGCTGCAAAGCAAACAATGTGAAAGTACATGAAGTGACACTGTGTACAAGCAGTGAATAAAAAATTACCAGACTGAAGTTTAGTGCAACAGAAAACAGTTAAAAAGCCGTTAACATCGTTCAGGACAACAGAGGAAAGGGTTAATGCTTCTCATGACCAACAGGAAGCTGCATTAAATCAGTATTTCAGTAAAAGAACGAGTCACAAAATCAATGCTGCTTAAAATGTGATGCTTTTCTCTTTCAGACGCTGAGCACCGTAACACCTCAAATAGAGGAGCATCACATTTTGACCTCAGTAACTCGTTCCACTGTCTCACTTCTGTTGTATTTGTGTTTGACTTGTGTGGATTTTGCGTTTGTATTTTGCGTTAATGAGCGTGAGACATCTCGGCCACCGTAGTTTGGTGAATCTAGCAGAATAGTTTTATTTTTATTAAATCAAACAAACAGAAAGTGAGGACGTGTTTGAGTCAAGACAAGTGTAGAGGGTTCAACAGAAAACAGAAGGTGAGAGAAGCTTCAGGCCAGAGACGACCTACCAACAAGGAATAATCCAACAAGATCTCCTGCAAGACACAAGACAGGGTCAAAACACACACATACACATGGAGCTTTGTTCTCTTCATTATTGGAACGCCATGCAGAGAGAGATGACAGGAAATGTCCGCCCCTCAGGTGCGTACTCACACAGAGGGCAGGGACGAGGTTGGCCAGGTTGACGTGTGAAGGTGAGAACATGTGTAGCTGCTGCAGACAGGAAATGGCTCTGGCCTGGACCAGACAGTCGGGACTGGCCTGCATCACCCCACATCCCACCAGACAGCTGGAGCGCAGAGAGGACACGGCTGCACCTTCACCTGACGAACACAACACACCAGGTCTCACTCAGACACTCCCTCAAACCCCCCGTGTTCTGTGTCCGCAGGAGGGGGTGACGTACCCTGCAGGTCGGGGCCCAGGCAGGTGATGAGGGCGTGCAGGCAGCGTCCCAGGCTGTAGTGAACCTCAGGGTGGGTGGGTGGAGCAGACAGCAGAAGCCGGAGCACCAGAGCGAAGGACGGCTCGGCGTGGGCCCGATAAAGACAGCCGGACAGGTCGACCACCAGGGACAGACTGTGGAGAGACCAGGTCTGGACCCAGCAGGGACACAGGACGTTAGGACATTTATTCTGGTCAGGAGATTGAGGGACGTACAGAGGTAGACGCAGAACAAACGTGTACCTGGACCTCAGGCGAAGTGCTGTCCTGGCTCAGGGTGAACAGGACTCCCAGGCAGGTGGACAGGTGTTGAGGGGAGCTGATTCCTCCTGTGTGGCGGTGTAGCGCCCCCAGAGCCAGAGCGTAGCCACTGCGAGAGGCTGCGTCTCGAACCGTCTTCAGCCTGAACACAGTCACCAACAGAGCAGTCGTGGCCAGAGCAAATTTTTAGTTTTCAACTGCAGGTGATTTTGTAAAATGAACTTTGAAACTCGTTATAATTCCTTCAGTTCAAAAGGGCCGTCACACCGAGGTCAGTGGCTCGAACGACTGACGGCACAAGGTTCAAATCAGAGGCTCTGCAACGGATGTTTCTACGTTTAGGAGAGAAAAGGTCTCTTTGCTGCAGATGACAACACAGTGTGAACCTGAGAGAATAAACCTGACACGTTCACACACTGGGATGGATCCAGACCAGTTATTTAAAGACTATTTCAAGACTATTTCTAGTGTATTTGTTCTCTGTGATTTATTTTTCGCCGTTGTTAATTTTGGATCAAAGCCTTACGTCAAAGTGAGGAATTGGCTTCTGTGCACATCAAGTAAACAGCAAACTAAACTAAAACTGTCCAGAACAAAGTCCCAGGAATCCACAAAAACATATTTCTCTCATGAGAAAGAGACAAAACTTTCGGTTTTACTCTCTCGATATTTACCCTCTTCCTTATTCTTCTATAGTCAGTAAACAAACAGAGAGCCCCCCCCCCATGGCTTATGGACATAAACCCAATAAGCCAGTTCCCTCTGATATGATGACACCTCAAGAAAAGACAAGGAGAAAAAAAAACTTTTTCAATTGAAAAAAGTGATGAAGTAGATTTAGTTTTTTATCAGGTCTGCTGCAAACCTTTAACTCATAATCTTCAGTGATGATTCCAGAGACTGGAAATCTCACAGAAAATCACAATATCTTTTTCTTCTTCGTCAGTTTTTTCACGGTGGGACGCAAATGACTGTTAGCTGCGTTACCACCACAACACTTGAGAAGATAATGTTCTGCCTCTGCAGAGTCGTATACGTTCAACTCACGATGCCTCGAAGAAATGATTCATTTCCCCACGTGGAGTTGGAAGCGTGGTGTGCGAAGCAGGGCGGTAACTTCCACTCACCTGTCGAAGCAGAGCAGGGAGACGGACACGGTGAAGCCGGGGTCTCCGACCACCTGAACCAGCCGGGCAAGACCCTCAGCAGCCAGGCAGCGCAGCAGTGGACTGACGCTCTCCAGCGCCCCCGACAGGAGAGACAGCGCCGGGGAACGGATCTCCTCTGGCCCCAGAGAGCCTCGAATACCACCCTGGTGCTGAGGAAGAGGACTCATTTTGAATTATTGTAGCTTCTACACATTTACAAAGTGAGAATATCTCAGAGGTTTGTGTTTTCCAGCTCGTGGCGGAAATCTGCTGCCCCCAAGTGGACAACAATGACACTCATGCAGCTTTAAACAGAATTAAACTTCAATGACGGAACAACCAGGCGTGGACAGAGGCCCTTCAAAAACATTTGTCCTGCACTTGGTCTCCAGATAAACACACACTTTGTGTTACGTCCTCCAGTTTACTGATGTAGTACCTTGAGCAGACTGCAGAGGGCAGCGCAGACATGGGTCTGGACGGTCTGTTGGCGTTGACCCTTCAGCTGATTCACGGTTTCTACAAACTGCTCCAGTATCTTCACTCTGGTGTAGAAACACACGGAAACAGGATTTAAATTCAGCAGGAAAACATCTGGAACCTTCTCAGTGAGCGAGTGGGCGTGTCTCTGAGGTTTCTGACAACAGACACGTGTCAGTGTTTCTGACACGTGTCTGTTGTCCGGTGGAGCAGGTGACAGGTCAGTTACCTCTGAGCAGAGATGATGTGGGGGAAGACGGCTCCAAAGAGACGGACGGCGGCGGCGGTCAGGGCGACGGGAGGCGGAAGAGGAGCGGCGGGAGCTTCGTCTCCTCTCTCACACAGACTGAAGGGGTCGTTATCCAGAGAGCCCCCCCCCACACTGCTACCGTGGAGCTGAAGCACAAACACAACCTTCACTCATTCTAACAGTCCTGTTGGGCACACTCTGTGTCTTCAGTCTGCACTGACGGTGTGAGACGTCACCTGCTCCTCGACATATCTGTGGTCGGTGTCCTGGAGGGCGGGGCCAACCAGCTGCAGGTCGTCGGGGTGACAGAGGGGGGGCAGCAGAGTGAGGTCGGAGCACGGCTGGTTGAGGTTGTCCTGGCCGGACAGATCAGAGACCAGCTGGTTCATCACCAAACCGAAGCTCTCTGCAGGAGGAGAGGACGGAAGAGACACTGAAAACCTAAAGGTCGTCGGAGCAGAGCTGAGGCTGAGCTGAGCTTCAGGACATTTGAAGATGAAAGAAGAGGAAAAACAAGGAAGGAGAGAAGGAAGGAGAGAGGGAAGGAGAGAGGGAAGGAGAGAGGGAAGGAGAGAGGGAAGGAGGAGTTGTTACCCTGGTAGGTGTGAGGAGGCAGCAGAGCCAGCAGCTCGTAGACTCTCAGCCTGTAGACGACGGAGCAGCTACGAACTGAACTGCTGTGAGACCTGAGGAGAGCAGGCAGCCTGGTGCACACACAATACACACACACG